TTTAGCAAACAATATGATTTGAGGCATTATTCATATCTGTAAGACAAATACAGGACAAGCAATGACGTGTAATACTTAGCAAACTAACAGTGTATATTAGCAATATTAATACAGATGCTTGGACTTCGCAAAGACCACTAATAAATAGATTAAAAAAATGTAATACACTAAATTAATAAACAAATTTAAAAAATGAGATACATAAAGAAAAAAATTGACTATACAAATGACTATAGAAAAATTGACTATGTAAATAATAGACTATATATAATTTTTTTAAATGCATACATGACTTAAAAAAAAAAGTCAAATTCATTCCAAAAAAGTGGAATTCATAACCATATCTAAATAAAAATAGAAAGTAGAACACAATATATAAAACTATTGCATCAAGAAAATAATATATAAATGAAAAACTTAATGATAATATATGAATATTAGATAAAAAAACTTATACAACTTAAATGTAAATTAGAAATAATGTGGCAACTAGCTGAAATAAATATACAAAAAATATATATATATACTGTATATATATAAAAAAAAAACCTGCATAAATGAAAACCGAAATAAAACTGAAAATATAAAAATAAAAACAAATGTAAACAAAATATCAAAACAAAAACTAAAAATATATATTTATAAATAGTATAATAGTGCATAAATAATGCTAAAATAACACTGATCGCATTACAAGTTTTTTTTTACATACCACTAATAAAAAGATTTTAAATTGTAATACATAATCAACTAAAATATAATTTAAAAAGTGGAATACACTAAATAAGTAAGTAAGTAACCAAGTAGAACACAATATATAAAACTATTAAATCAATCTCAAATAAAATAAAATATAAATATTTGATGAAAAATTAGAAATGTTGCCTTGGCAACTAACTGAAATAAATAATTCGAAGTACTACTAAAACTGAAAGAAAAATAACGCTAAATAGTAATATTACAAAAAAACACAAAATCACATAAATTTGAAAATCTAAAAATAAAAACGAATTCAAATATTAATAAATACTATAACAGTGCACAAATAATACTAAAATAACACTCCATTACAGGGTTTTTTTTTTTTTTTGCAAAGACCACTAATAAAAAAAATTTTAAAAAAGAAGAAAAGAAAAAGAAACTAAATAAATACATGGGATAGAAAATACAAAATTAAAATAAAAAGTGGAATACATAACCAAGTGTCACTAAATATAAATATGTAAAGTAGAACACAATATGTTTCATGAGTCGAGACAAATGATGGTGTTCATGTCAACCACACGTGTGAAAGAAAAACAACAGGAAGTGAAGGCCATGTTAAAGCAGGAGGATGGCGAGGTGCTGGCAGAGCGCTGTGGAGACCGGGAACAATGTGATATCAAAGCACCGCCAGCATGTAGGATTTTCATAAGTGTCTGATTACATGAAAGGCTGGAGACGCATTCATTATCAGGCCTGTGAGCACATGGGCCAGATCTCTCCAAATTTAGCTCCTCTTTGAGTCTGGCCTGCGAATGCATAATGAGAACTCCATGGTGATGCACTCCCACAGTGTCTTCTCGCTGTAAACATCAACACGTCCGGAATATGTGAGGAAGGATGCACACACAACCCCATCTCAGACAGATTCTCTCTCCAAACATTGCAAGGTCACGTTTCACCCCCAAATCAACAGGAAATGTTGTTCTGGCAGGTTACTTTGTCCATCAGGAAAAAAATCAAAATCACTTAGAAAAATAATAGCACAGCACGCTGCACAAGAGGGATCATTCATATTCATGCCACAAACCGTGCTAGAGTAATAGCAATGCTTTCCTTCACAGTGTATTTACACTAATCATATTGTGCATGAAAATAATTAAGCTGATTTTAAGACTGTTTTTTAACTTTTAAGACAACGTTTTTTTGCATTGTGACATTATTTTCATGACAATTAAGCTAATTTCTCCCCCAAATTTCCATTTCTATTAGTTCAATAATATTTTACTCTTTAAAATTATATATGTAGAGATCAATTTTCATTAGTTCAATAATATTTTAAATTGCTAAAATAAATTACATTACATATATATACAGTATATATATATATATATATATATATATATATA